AGATAAAAAGTCTGATACACCTACTGCCACAGAACGTCTCTTTTTAATCCTGAAATCCTATGGTCATTTATTTCTACAAGTCATTGATATGGTTAGGACCACATGGTTCTTTTGTTACTCCTGTCATTATTGGGCAGTGAGGAATTATTGTCTAGACACCTCCCACTTTGAGCGCGTGTCTAAAGTACTTATAATCAGGTTTGCATTCAATTGCCCTTGTCCTTGTCCCCATCCTAATGGTTTCTGGCTAATCCAATTAGTCAAGTGGAGGTAAGCTTAGTCAAAATCTTTTTTTCCTCTTATTCGTATGAGAAGCTTTGAAACGAGATGAGCGTCTGTAGTTTGAGTCTTATAATAAAGAGCAATGCTCTTTCTAACAAGACTACATAATGTTACTTCTTACAGAACTAATCTTATTGATTATAATAATAATAATCCTTGTATTTGGTCTAGTGCCTTATCACGTCGGAAGGAAGTCTCAAGGCACTCCACGGATTTACTGTAAAGTGGAGTGATTATGTAATTGTAGGCAAATATGGCAGCACAATTTGCACAGTAATGTCCCAGAAACAGCCATGGAACAAATTACCAATTTTATTTGGGAGATTGTCGGCCAGGACAACAGGAGAACTCTCCTTTTTTCAATACTGCCATGGGATCTTTAACATCCACCTGAACACACAGATCAAACCTCACTTTAACATCTCATCCAAAGGACGGCACCTGCGACAATGAAACATACTCTCTCTCAGCACTGCATTGGAGTGTCATCTTAGAGTATGTGAGTTCATGTCCCAACGTGGGATTTGAACCCACAACCTGACTCAGGGTGCTACCACTACTCTAAGTTGTACCTTCTCTCTGCATGAATCTTATTGCTCACTTCAACAACTGTTGTTGCCAAACAAGCCTTAACATGCAGGATATAAACCCTCACCAAAGTTTTAAGATCCTGACAAGAGGGATTCTTGTAGTATCTAGCATGCTGGGGTTAGTAATATTTACCCTGAAAATCATGCCAATTGCCATAATCACTCTCCTGGATTCCGTATGAAACACATAATTGAATCAGTAAATATGGTAACAATACACAGTAGTTTTGATCCAACTTTTAAACAATATTTATCACACAAAGAGTGGTCATCCCAGTAATAACGGTATGCACTTAGAATACAATTTTTTAAAAATGTTCTAATAGAGTAGGAAAGTGCAGAATCTTTCCTAACTCTCACAGGGTACTGTTTATCAGTCTGACCTGGATTCTTTGCTGAGGAGAAACAAATCAAATTGCTCATGTTAAATATGCTGAAAGTCTGTAATGCCCCTCTATGAGTGCACAAACCAGTTTGGCTCAGATAGCAGCACTCTTGCCCCTGGATCAGAGTCGTGTTGAGGACTTGGAGCTCATAATCTAGATTGACCCTACAATGCTGCATTGTTGGAGGTGCTGTTCTTCAGATGAGATATTAAACTGAAGTCCTATCTACCTATTCAGTACAGTGGATGATAAAAACCCATGATACTATTTAAAAATAAGAGTTTCCCTGATCGACAAACCTCCAATGAACTTGGTTATTTACTTCCTGTCTGTTTCTGGGACATTGCTATATGCAAATTGTCTGCTGTTTGTCTATGCCTACAGTTATAGTTGCCACATTTAACAGTAATTACTGTGAGAAGTTTTGAAATAAGGCACAAATGCAAGTACATTATTATCATTATTAAAGACGGTGGCTGAAGATAACATATAGCAAGTTCTTCCTTTTCCTTTATCTTGTCCAGAACAGTAGAACCAAAGGACCCAGCCTGTGAATGAAGGGGGTAAATTCAGAACGAATCTGTGGAAACACTACCTCAGTGAGCGCATGGAACAGGCTTCCTGGGGAGACGGAAGAAGCAGAAAGTGCTGATTCATTCAAGAACAAATTAGATAGATTTCTATTCAGAAATAATATCTTGGGATATAATGTAGAGTTTGGGGCAAGATATGTCATGTGACTGCCAGGATGGTGGAAGGTGAACTGGATGGACCTTGGTTTTCCTTCGCCTAGCAAATTATGTTCTTATGTTACAGGAAGTGTATTTAAAAGGGCATCAGGTTTAAAATAGTTAGTGCAGGACAGATTTGGTACAAAATCCTCATTCGTTACTACTCGCTGATTGCAAGAAGCACCCGAGGAGAAGCAGCGGGTTAGGTTAATTGCTGCCATGCACAAGACGATTCAAACTATTATTTCTCCTTGTGGAAAAGTTACCACTGCTGAAAGGACAGGTCTTGCTTGAAAATTAAATACACATTTCCCAAGATTATTCCTTGATGGCTAAACTCACTCAATTAACAAGGCAGCAATGATGTAAATTCTTAGGTAAAGTGTCTAAACCCAAAGGCTGCCTGAAACCATTTCTCAAGTAGTATGAGGTACAGTAGCAGATGCAATAGGTATCTATCACACCATCTCACCTGTAGGAAGGTAATAGGTGGGACTGACTGCATTGATTCCACTGACATTAAACTGTATAATGAACAACAGAAAATACAATAAAACACTCTCATGGGAGACACAGCAGATAAAATAGAAAGCCCCTTTCAGACACGGGGTAAATAGATTCCCACATCTTAAAGTAACCAACGTCCAGCATCGACTTCAGGAAATATACTTTGAATAGGATCACTCGCCTTACAATATGGTGTTTGTGTGTTGTCAATTGTGTTAAAAGTTTGATCTCTGGTTGTGCCACTGCACAAGGCACCACTTGGGGTCGCCCCACACCACTTGATAGATACACATATATATATTTATATATAAATAAATAAAAAAAACATGTTTTGCACTTGAAAGTTTCCAGGATCCTCTCAAACTATGTTGTTTCAAATTACAAACAGCAAAAGAAAGGACAGCTTTTATGGAGGGCGACTTTAATGTCATTACCTCCCCTGTTTTAGCTTCAGACTGTGGAATAACTTAAACGTTACTCCAAACCTTTTTTTTGGGGGGGGGAGGGGGGGGGGGATTTAACAAAAAAACACACACAACAGGAAAAGCACAATTTCGAAATGTCGAGACTTGAGCATTTAACAGGTCATTTCAACACAATTTGACAAGAAATGTAACTTGATGAGGGAGTTCTGATCATTTTTTTCTGGGGTGTGTGTGTGTGTGTGTGTGGGAGGGTGGGGGGGGGGGTGTTAGAGTGGCAAATAAAACCTGTCACTGACTCCTCCTGACACAGTGTGAGTGTGGAGGGAGGGAGAGAGGGAGAGGAAAGGCAGTTCATTTATATGTAGATTTATAGAAAACACACCCAACACCAAATCCTGGAGAAATTTCACTATTTTTAAATTGCACCTCAAAAAGACTTGATATGCAACAAGAACATTAATTCCCACCCCAACCCACCCCCCCCAAAAAAAGTGCCAGCATTTAGCATTCCCCCCACCCAGTTGCACACAAAAAAAACCCCCAAAAAACCATGTCATGTCTCGTCTCCTCCTTTCCCCCCTCTCCCTCTCTCTGAGATTTCTCTTCCTCAAAACACTTCTTGTATTTTATTTTATTTTATTTTATGAGGGGAGGGGGGGGGGGGGGGGCAGTGGCTCAAAATGGCGGAGTCTATATTGAATGTTAAAGGCCTAAAAAAAAAGGAAGGGGGAGACACGTTGCATTTAAAACGCTTGTGTGTGTGTGTGTGAGAGAGAGAGAGAGAGTGTGTGAGAGAGTGTGTGAGTGTCTCTCCTCTCTCCCTGTCTGTTGCCTGTGTTAGAGACACCACATACCCGGGGGGGGGAGAGGGGGGTGGAGGGGGTACAAGGCATCGCCCAGACGTCCAGCAAAGGACAAATGGGGACCAAAGTGATGTGAGGAGCAGCTGCTGCTGCTCTGTCTCAATGTTATTAATATTATTATTATTAATATTATTATTATTAATATTATTTCAACACAATGGTAACGCGCACAGTAATAACGCGCACCGCAATAATCATCAATAGCCATCACCACCATCATCATCATCAATAATCATCATCATCATCATCTTACATTTCTGACCCCCAAAACAACACCCCATTTGCATTTTTTTTGCTGTAATGCATTTGTGTTCCGGCTTTATTTGCGGTTTTGCGAGGATCTCTCTCTCTCTCTCTCTTTCTCTTTTTCTCTCTCTTTCTCTCTATTTGTCTATCTATTTGGGTCTTTCTCTCTCTCTCTGTCTGTCTCTGCAATTTATTACCTTCCTCCTCTCTCCCCCTCTCACACACTCACTCACACGCACTCTCTCTCTGTCTCTCTCTAATAATTAAAATTATTTTTTTCTCCGAAATGCTGGAGTGAGTGAGTGAGTGAGTGAGTGAGTGGAGAGTGAGAGACTGTTCTGCTCTCCCTGCACCAGCTCTCACACTCTCTCTCTCTCTCTCTCTCTCACACACTCACTCACTCAGTCTCTCTCTCTCACTCACTCACTCTCTCTCTCCCACTGCAACTACTTTTTTAAACGCAAGTTTTAACAGCGAACGGGCAAACACTGAAGGTAAAAAAAAAACGGGAGAGGAGAGACACACACACACACAGAGAGAGGAGAGAGAGAGGGGGGGAGAGAGGGAAGGGGGAAATAAACAAGTGGCATACCTTTGTGGGAGGGGGGGAAAGAGAGAGGGAGGAGGGAGGAGGAGTGCACAGGGCTATTTGTCCTGAGATGTCCGAGAGGCTTCGTCCTGGTGTAATTTTTTTTCTTCTTCCTCTCCTTCTCTCTCTCCTTCTCTCCTTCTCTCTCTTTCTCTTGCTTTCTCCCCCCCCCCCCCTTTCTCTTTCTCTCTCTCTCTCTCTCTCTTTCTTTCTTTTTCTCTCTCTCTCTTCTTTTTTTTGGGGAGGGAGGGAGGGAATGGGGAAGAGAGAAGAAGGACAAACGAGAGAAGGGGAAAAAAATAATACATTTTTTTTTCCCCCACACCCCCCCACACCCGCACCGGAAAAAAAAATATCAAACAAAATTGCACCGTTTCTTACCCAAATTCTGTCACGAGTATAATATATAAAAAAAAGCCCTCCGGGGGTGGCCCAGTGCGCAGGCGCGCACGACAGACAGCTGCTGAGCGAGGAACTGCAGAGAGAGAGAGAGAGAGAGGAGAGACTGGAGGGGAGTCACTCACACAGTCACTTCACTCCAGCTCCTCACCCCACCTTCTGTGGGCTTCTGCTTTGCAAAACCCCTTTTTCTCTCTCTCTCTTCCTTTCCCTATTTGCATATCATCTTCTCGGTGTCGTTTCCCTTCCCCTCTCCCCTCCCCTCCCCTCCCTCCCCAAACACAATGCACAGTTTTTTTTTGTGTGTGTGCATATTATATATATATATATATATATGTATATATATGTGTGTGTGTGTGTGCATATTATATAAATATAGATATATGTGTGTGTGTAGGACTGGAATCGAAACCTGCGCGTATTAATTCAAAACCTGGACTACATTTAGCCCGAGGAAATGCTGCAAAAAAAAATTTTTTTTACACACACACACACACGGCGAGGAAGGAACTTGCTCGCATCCATGTCCTTAAAAGAGTTATTTACACCACAACCTGGTGTGCCTTTTTTTCCCCCCCGGACCCGCATTTCCTTATTGCAAAGCTGATCTCTCTCTCTCTCTCTCTCTCTCCTGCTTTTGCTCCCCCCCCCCTTCGCAGAAGAGGTCGATTTGATTCCAAACGCTTTTTTGCTCCCCTCTTTATCGTCTGAAGTGGTTTCGCAAGTTTCAGCAGATAGATACTATTACCTTCTTTCGGGTATGAGTTGGCAGGGAGCAGCTCTGCAATGTGCACAAAAGTATGCAAACAGAGCTGAGACATTATCACAGAAATTGCTCAGCTTAGTGAAAGGTTAGGCATAGTTTTGCTAAAGTGCAGCTGAGATTTTTTTTTGGGGGGGTGGGGGTTGAAATTTGCAAGAATGTTCACGGGTATGGAAGTAAAATTTGCAGGACAGTTTCTCCACGGTAATTGTGCTCCATTCATAAAATCCATACTTTTTTTTTAATAACACAAATGTGGAAGAATTAATATAAATATGGGATGATTCACTAAAGCCGCAGGAGTGTCATGGATCATCACGCTGATGCACATTGAAGGAGGAATAATAACCGCTCCCCAATTTCCCAACAAGTTTGTTCAGTGAGCCACTGAACTTCCTGCCACACAGGTTGGGAAGTTTTCCCAGATTCAATCCTTGGGTCTGCTCTACACCAAAACAACAACAACAATTTGCATTTTGTATAGCGCCGCTCATGCAAGGTAACGTCCCAGAGCGCTTGGTGCTAAGGTAGATGATCAAAGCAAGGGAGACATTAGCCGTGCTAAACTGGTCCTACTGAGAGAAAAAGTTAGCTTGGATTCCCGTTCCTATTAGTTATCCAACAACCTTAGCCTGAGGTCCACCACGCCTGATGTCGGGAGATGATAGGATAAGTTACGGTTGTGATTCCGTCTGCGATCAAATAGCCATTCAAGGTTGACACTTGAATAATGAGCATTGAGCAAGAAGATGGAATTTGACTGACGCTGAGGAACTTTAGTTTTAGCTCAGTAGAAGAAAAACGTTAGCAAAACTCTTCGGGAAAGACAGGAAGAAAATTGGAGGAGAAAATTGCCAAAAGACAGGGAAAAGAAGCTTTGAGTATTAGTATTCAAAAAAATCTATGACTGTTTGTGAAACACTGCTGTGTGCAATTGGCCCACAAAATACACAGTCACTCCACTTTATAATAGATTCTGTGAAGCACTTTGATACATCTCAAGGACATGATAAGGTGCTATATTAAATGCAAGGATTATTATTATTATGGTAAAGCTCCTATTGATCAACTGGATAAATGCCCTGACACAAGGCCATACAAACATGAATCTCACCCTTCAGCCGAGGCAGCAGTTGGGCACTACAGTTGACTTGGTTAGTGTAAGGATTGTAAAACAGAATTGCCATTCTTAAGCTCCAGAAATTCTTGCTGAAAGGTTGCTTGTGTAGGTATCACGTGACGGTAGGATCAAGCTTGGCTATGAAACACCCTAAAATCAAATAGTCTCCTAACATTTGCTGTTAGATCAACAACACCAACTTGCATTTATATAGCACACTTCATGCAGTTAGCATTTTGCAGAGCTGAAACATGATGTCATTTGATGCTGAGCCAAGGAGAGAGGGAAGATAACCATAGCCATGGTTGAAGAGGAAAGTCTTCAGGTGCAATCTGAATAGAGGGAATAAGACAGAGGCAGGAAGTTAGTCTAACTTAATAAAAATGCAATTTCTTTATAGGTATGTGGGGACTTGAATAGTTGGTACTGTTTTCACTGGAGAAGAGAACGTTGAGGGGGAATCTAACAGGGTTTCAAAATTATTAATTGTTTACTAGTGTAAAAAACGGTTGTTGCAACTGATAGACGAATGAATAACAAAAGAGCATAAATTGAGGTTTCAGTAGCAGAAGAAAAAACAAGGAAATTAGAAGACATGTTTTTACACAGTGGGTTATCATAAGATGGAATGCTTTGCACAAAAGATTGTTAAAGGCAAGTCCATAAAAGCACTTAAAAGGGAAGTGTATAAATACTCGAGGAAAATAATATTTAAAGGTATGGGTAAAGAGCTGGGAAATCAGATTAAAGAAGATATCTCCAGTGGGAGGACCAGCACTAGGTCAGATGCAATGGGAATGGACCTCAGTGCTCTAACCTTCTATGATTCTATAATTTTGAAAAACAATTATGTAACAGAAATAAGGATATTTTTAAAGTTGAAAACAATTTGACATGCTGTTGTGCATTAATCACTACGCAACTATTTGTTAGATGGAAAGAAATTTGCTGAGTGTTAAGTTGTTTCTTGGAGGAATTCTTGCAAGACACTTAATTTGCAAACACACAGGGACTGCAACAACACCCTTTCAGCAGCACTGTGATACCTGCCATTTGGGAATTTGAAGTAATTCATTCAAAACTGGTTTATAATAGTCATAGTGTGGCACCTTAACACGCAGTAAATTACTCTCTGATCCTTTCCAGATGCATTGATTCGAAACTTCAAAGTTGCAGCTTACAAAACTACATGAAAAGAACTTTGTCTAATTCTGGGCATTCTCAGTGCTACAAAAATAGATTAAATCGAGGTGGACTTTCTCCCCAGTAGATTTTTTCCAACCTTAGAATGTATTGGAGAATCAACAGCGCTCTGAGACTCCAACTGATGCTATAAATGCAACTTATTGTTGAAGTCAATGATAGATAGCTGATAGAATAGACCTGACGCATAGATAATAATGATAATTATAATAATCCTTGCATTTGATATAGCGCCTTATCACGTCTCCGAGACGTCTCAAAGCACTTCACAGAATATACTGTAATGTGAATTGACTGTATATTTTATGAATGAACACAATTGCCAGTTTGCACACAGCAGTGTCCCACAAACAGGCATTGAGTGAATAACCAATTTTATTTGGGGGATTTGTGGCCAGGACATTGGGAGAAACTCCCTTCTCTTTTCAAATAGTGGCATGGAATCTTTAATGCCCACCTGGAGAATGGGGCCGTGGTTTAACATCTCATCCAAAGGACGGCACCTCCAATAACACAGCACACCCCCAATACTGCATTGGACGGATATCTTAGATTATATGATTTCCAAGTCCTGAAGTGAGGCTTGAACCCACAAGCTTCTGATTCAGAGGCAAGAGTGCTACCAAATGAGCCAGGCCAACACAATATGGGAATAAGCCAACATAAAAAAACTGTATTGTTATAGGGCCTTATCATGTCTCAGAACACTTACTGTTATTATAGTTAAGTATGGTAAATATTTTCCTGATAAACTCAGCAGCCATTTTGGGCACAACGAGGTCCAACAACCGTAAAGTGAATGGTCAGGAAATGACATTGCACATTGAGGCACCAAGAATTTAACTTGTAACTGTGCCTTAATGCACTCACCAAATTACGTGGCCAATCTAAACCCATGTTTGCCAGGTAGTACATGGAATTCAAACTCTATATTGAAGACCCGTTCAAAAACAGCACTATATGTTTTAAACCATTATCTTCATTGTCTTTTGCTTCCTTTGTTTCTTCTATTGTTCTTTTGCAAGAGACATAACTGTAGTTTTATCCTGCAATTGTGCTTGTGAAATCTTTTATGTCAAGGGTGGTTTGGTGGGTCTGCACATATTACCCGCCATCAGGTGAACAATGTTTCTTTTCTTAGCATGGACTTTCCATTCACTGAAATGGGTGATCATCAGACTTTTTCTAACCTCCTCAGAAAGGATGATGGCAGCTGTGGTAAGCCAAATTTCTGCATTGTTATTCTTTTTTGAAATCAGCAACATTTTTGTCCTGAGCTAAGCTCAATATAGATGCAATCCAGGCAGACTATTTAAGCAGTCAGAAACTAGAGTGTGGCTACACAGAACAGCTTAAGTTTTGTTTGCAGTAGAAACCTATCATTAATCTTTCAAACCATATTGGAAATTTGGTGATATCTTTCCACTTTACAGTTTTGTGTTTTTCAGCTCGTGCTTCTTTAATCTTAGTGAGTAAATAAGTTAACTCACAGAGATGCAAAGAGACAAAACACCAAAGTGGAACTTTGATTTTGAGGTCACTTTTAAAATGTATTATTCCAAAATTCTTACTGAGGAATTCAGGGGGCGAAATTCCAACTTAATCAAGATATACTCTATTCTCTTAGCATTTGACAAATTGCTGAATTGAGTTTTAATTTTGAATAATAATAATAACCCTTACATTTGATATAGCATCTTATCATGATGTTGAGACATCTCAAAGCGCTTGACAGGTTATACTGTAAAGTGGATTGATTGTATTTTGTGGGCAAAACAAAAAGTAAATTTTCTCCAGTTCCTAAAAAAATCAAATATGACTTTAATATTTTAGTCCTTAAATGACATGAGTATCTAGAAGGGTTCAAAATCTAGCAGAATTAGGGGGTTAAATTTGCAGTGTTTCTTAACAGAATTCCTTACTAAGGAATCTGTATTGCACAAATGGAGATTCTTTCTGATAATTGGAAGTACAGCACTCCAGCCCCCAGGAATTCATTAAGGAATCCTGTTATAA